GGAATTCTGTGGGATCCCTGGGAATTCAGTGGGATCCCTGCTCTATGGGAATTCCTCAGGAATTCTGTGGGATCCCAGCCCGCCTGGATTTGTGCACGGCTGGAGGATTATGTAAGATCTCGCCGATTCCTCCAGCCTCGCTCTGCCGGGGTTTTGCTGCTCGGTGCAGGGAGGAAACCCAGCAAAAACCTGCCAGAAAATGGAGAGAGCCCAAAATAAACACAGGGGAACGGCCAAAACCCTTTTATTGACAGGGAGCTGCTCCTTCCTCAGTGCTGCGAGGTGGCCGTGCTCGGAGCTGAGAAATAAAAAACGCGTGGCCAAGTCCAGAAACACCTGACGGGGCACCAGCTGTGGGCTTGAGGTGGTTGCACCCCCGAGGAGGTGGAGGAGCAGCTCAGAAGCCGATCCGGAAATGGATTCGGTTCTTTTTGTTGTTGTTTTGGTGTTTTTGAATGTCCTCCGGTGCTTTTAAACGTCCTTTCGCTGCTTGCTGAGGGGGGAAGGAGTTGGCTGATAATCGAGTGATAATCGAGTGCTGAGCTCTTCTCTCCGAGGGCTGTCAGGAGGGATTTGGGCTGGGTTTGGGGGATTTAGGGTGGATTTTAGGGAAAAGTTCTTCCCGCAGAGGGCGGTGGGGCACTGGAACAGCTCCCCAGGGAATGAGCACATCCTTGGAGCTCCGGGAGCTGCCGGGATCGGGATTTTGGGATGTCCTGTGCAGGGCCAGGAGCTGGGGCTGATCCCTGTGGGTTTTGTGCTGTTCCATGAGAGGTTCTGGAAGTCTCTGTGATGCTGAGGAGGAGGAGAACACTGAGCTGGAACTGGGGAGGAGGGGGCTGGGGTTGTTTTGGAATTTTTTCTTCACGTTTTTAGGGCTGGAAAGGCACCAAAGCACCGACTGTGGCCAGTGCCTGGGGAATTCTTGGGAATTCCTGGGAGGGAATTCTCTGGCTGCAGGCAGGGCTTGCACTGCTGTGAGCTGAGGTGTCGCTGGCCTCAGAGCTCCAGGGATTTTTAGGCATCTGTGGAGTTTATAAAGTTTATTTTTAGGCATCTGTAGAGTTTATGAAGTTTATTTTTAGGCATCTGTGGAGTTCATCAAGTCAGGATCGTGGCAGGGATTAAACATTCCCATCTGGAAGGTGCTGGCTTGGCCATGGATGCAGCAGATTCTGCTGATTTTAGAGCAAAAAGGGCTGAAATTCTCATATTAAGAGCTCGGCTCAGCTTTTCTCAGCCTGTGTTACAGATCCTCCTGGGAAGGTTCTGGTCTAGGATTTAAGAAGGGCTTTAGGCACAGACACGAGGTTTAAGTTGTGCATTTGAGGCTGGGCCTGGTGTCACATTCGGGCTGTGAATTAAACACAGCAACTTTGATCCAACCTGTGACAACAGAAATCATTTTCCAGCAGCAGAGAAGGGCTTTGTGCCCAGCTGGGACAGAGTTAAACACAGCACAAGCCCAGAGGTTAATCTGAAATGGGCTCATTTTAGGTATTGGGGTCTTGTAAGGTCAGGAATGTTGGTGAAGATACACTGCAGTGCTCAGGAGAGAAACATTTAATTGTATCCGTTCAGTGATTTTGGGTCACTCCCATTCCG